TTAATTTTTTTTCAAGATTTACAAGATTTGCCTGAACAAATGCTTCCGTTTTAAAACAAAATTCGAGCTATCAATTTCTCACCTACATGTTCAATAGGAGATCACAAATGAAATTCAAGCATTCTCTAAACTCATCTTTCTTTTCCTTTTGTGTGCAATATTTGTCTGCAATAAGGGATGATTTATGCTTGAAATAACATCTACAGCCTGGACAGTTCAATGATTTCTCTCAGGTGTATCACCAGGTGGGAATTCTGACAGTAATGTTTCCCACAATGATGACATTCAAAGGGTTTCTCTTTTCTTCTGTGAGTCCTCTGGTGCCTCACAAGGTTGGATTTGCGACTAAAACTTTTCCCACAGTCAGGACATTCAAAGGGTTTCTCTCCTGTGTGAGTCCTCCGGTGTTTCACCAGGTCAGAATTCTGTATGAAACTTTTCCCACAAAGAGGACATTCAAAAGGTTTCTCCCCTGTATGAGTCCTCTGGTGTATCACCAATGTGGAATTGCGATTAAAACTTTTCCCACAAATAGCACATTCAAACGGTTTCCCTCCTATGTGAATCCACTGGTGTTTCACCAGGCTCGAATTATTACTAAAACTTTTCCCACAAATAGGACATTCAAAGGATTTCTCTCCTGTATGAGTCCTCTGGTGTATCACAAGGCTTGAATTATTACTAAAACTTTTTCCACAAGTAGGACATTCAATAGGTTTCTCTCCTGTATGAGTCCTCTGGTGTATCACCAGGTGGGAATTCTGACTGAAACTTTTCCCACAATCAGGACATTCAAAGGTTTTCTCTCCTGTGTGAGTTCTCTGGTGTTTCACAAGGTTGGAGTTATAATGAAAACTTTTCCTACAGATAGGACACTCAAAGGGTTTCTCTCCTGTGTGAGTCCTCTGGTGACTCACAAGATTGGAATTGCAACTAAAACTTTTCCCACAATCGGGACATTCAAAGGGTTTCTCTCCTGTGTGAGTCCACTGGTGTTTCACCAGGCTTGAATTATTACTAAAACTTTTCCCGCAAATAGGACATTCAAAGGGTTTCTCTCCTGTATGAGTCCTCTGGTGTTTCAACAAGTGAGAATTCTGTCTGAAACTTTTCCCACAGTCAGGACATTCAAAGGGTTTCTCTCCTGTGTGAGTCCGTTGGTGTTTCAACAAGTGAGAATTCTGCCTGAAACTTTTCCCACAGTCAGGACATTCAAAGGGTTTCTCTCCTGTGTGAGTCCGCTGGTGTTTCACCAGGCTCGAATTATTACTAAATTTTTTCCCACAAATAGGACATTCAAAGGGTTTCTCTCCTGTGTGAGTCCTCTGGTGTATCACCAGGCTGGAATTATCACTAAAACTTTTCCCACAAATAGGACATTCAAACGGTTTCTCTCCTATATGAGTCCTCTGGTGTTTCAGCCGGTGGGAATTCTGTCTGAAACTTTTCCCACAGTCAGGACATTCAAACGGTTTGTCTCCTGTGTGAGTCCTCTGGTGTTTCAGCAGGTTCGAATTATTACTAAAA